ATAACTAAACAAACATTTTTAAAACTATTGCCGTATAGTACAAATGAACCAACCAATTTATCTGAATTATTCGCTATTTATTTCTTTACTTTCCAAACGCGTGGGTTTTATTTACGAGTAAGTTGTGAAATGACTTACATAAACCTTGTATTTGGTTCATAGCGTCCTGTATTTATTCACTAAAATAAGACAAACCGCTATAATCCAAGAGGTTACTTAATTTGTAAACACCCGGTCAGATATGTCGTCTATGTTTGCTTGATAATTTTGCGCCTTCGCAAAGGGTCTTATTTGCCACTATCATATAACTAAAACATTTCATGCTGTTTTGCATAAATAATTTTTTATAAGAATTTGATGCAAAGTTATGATAATTTTGTAGTCTTTTTATGAACTAATGGTTGCATAATTTTCAGACGTTATTCACTGAATTAGCAGCAACTTGAATCACATATCACACGAACCTAGACACAAGTGTAACGCCGTCGGATTGTATCTTTAAGCTGGTCATGAATTTCCTTCTTTTTTTCAGCAGGTGGCTGGCTGCAGTCATTCTGAGCAGCTGCTCTTAAAACGGATATTTATAATTAGAGACTATTCTCCAATTTTCTCAATCATTCCTTACTTCTTCGTTTGTGTTTCCTCTCTGTTAACTACGCAGTGTTTCCAAACGTTTCCCAGATCGCACTCTTCTTTATATGGGCCTACAGTAGCTCGAAATATCACAACACAAATCCAGTTATACGACACAAACCTCTGGTCGATTTTCCTGAGTTAGGCTTTTCGTGATATGGCACTTTCAGTCCAAATCATTAGCCTGCTCACCATTAATTATAATTTTCCTGGATTATTCGAAGCTGTATATAACCTCTAACCAAAAATAATCAATATACGTAATATATAATTCTGTTTGTGTGTGTATTTTATAAGATGGGTGGGTATCCACCCAAACACCATAATATAACTAACTCTAATACCGACAGCTCTACCCATACGCGCAAAATTGTTCTCACCCCTTCCTATCCGACGCGGCCACAATACTTTTTTTGAGTTGTTTCTCGTTTAAAGTGTGTAAATTATCATGGATGCCTGAAAACAAATTGACTTTTCCTGGTCAATATTAGCGCTGCAATACGCCTTGTGGGATTGGAACCACTGTGTGACCACCATCTCCGCCTCTCTGTCATTCTCAAAACGCTGACGCTGACGCTGACCGGACAGGAATTTCTTGAGGTGTAGGAAAAGATGGAAATCACTGGGAGCGAGGTCCGGGCTGTAGGGTGGATGATTAAACACCTCCCAGCTGAACTCCTGCAGGAGACTCGCTGTCCGTTGAGCCGTGTGCGGCCTAGCGTTATCACTGACCGCACTTCACAGTCGGCGGGAGCTGGAATAAGAATCTCCATCTTCAACAGCTGCAACGATGCTACTGTGAGAACGCGGGAAGTACCGTTAGTGCATGGGCCATGCTACGTCATTGCTCTATCACGTACGCACAGTCGCTTCGCGCAATATAAGGTTTGCTAGCTGTGGGACGAGTGGGAAACTTACTTTGTGGACGCGCCTCGTACATGAGCGGCTTGACAAAAGACAATCGAAGTCCTGTGAGTGGCTGTGAAATCGCGGACGACCTGACGACGCGATAGCTGAAGTATTCGTAGAACCAACCGGTACTACGAAATGAGCTTCCATCAACTACGGCGCTGGATCAATTGGATGTCGATAAGACGATAAACAAACTAGAAGCCATATTAGGGTTATCAGTTTGAACTCGTTCGGTTCTACTTTGTTTCTCGCGCATTGATCAACTGTACTGATTTAAAATTGCTCCGACTGATAAAGCTTGTGGCTACTAATTTATCGGATAGGTATGTTACTTTTCTTGACAGCGGCCTTCCTGGCACTGCAAAGTAAAAATTATCAACCTTGAAGACTAGGATATTACATCACAGACAATCATCCACTTATCTTATTTTATTCTTAACTTTCTATCTTCTGATCTATCAGAATTTATCATCATCCCAATAAAATAACGAGTCATTAATATTGTATATTCGTTTAGGAATATGTTTTAGGTGGTATATTAGCAAAAACACTAAATGACAAGAATAGTAGTAGTAGGAATAATAATAATTCGAAAATAACGAAGACATTACGAATAATAACAAATAAAATTAATTTTATATCTTTATATATGTAATAAACAAAGAAAGTATGAAATTTATATGACTGCATCGTGCATAATCAGTGCTCGTTTTTGGCAAAGTATAAAATATCAAGATTTGTATTCACTATATATTTTACGTAGACACTTAATAAATTACCTATTATAAAATTCCAAGATTGATCAGGCAGTGTGTCACCAAAGAAACTCTTTTCTACCGTGAAGTTGAATAGCAAGTGTTACGAATTAATTACAACATTCAAGTTCCAGAACGAACTTAGTTTATGTACTGTGTGACGAATGCAATAAATAAATAAATACATAAGGTCATTGAAAAACAAGTACGGTTGTCGGGTTCGAGTGTTAAGCTCTCCGACGTCGCACCGTTAGATTGCGGGTTTAAATCTGAGCTCGGTGAGTAATTTCTTCAGTCCCTCCAGAGAAATGTCGGTACAGTGATCTCAAATTATATTGCGATCGCTTCTTTCTGCAACCTGTTTAGTTCATTATTTACTAATCATTCTGTCACTCGACACTATGGAACCAAATCTATTCTCAGAATTTTTAAATGAACCAAGGTTTAATAAAAACAGAAACACAAATATTTGGTTTATTACGTTTGCTATTATATTTTCACTAAAATTAACATTTTGTGTTATTTCTCGGGAATGGGTACACAGATTTGCACTAAATTTCGCATGATTATCCTTCAGACCAGGAAGAGATTTTGGAAAGGCCAGTACCCCGGAAATGTTCTCAGTCCAAGTGCCGGTAAGGGAAGTTTCTGCATCTTGGAAAGTAAGACTGGTAGAACGGTGCCAAGCCCTATTTGAACGTTTCGGTGATGACATCACAGGAATAAAGACCAGAACTTGGAAAAGCTGTACTGAGTTTCAGTACCGATGAAGATGTTTCTTGTGGCTTAAAAAAACAAGCACAATGAAATGTACGACAGAAGAACTGGGCAACAAACAGAGTCGCTCGTTTCTGAGAAGAGATTGGAAGAAAGACGTAGTAAACTCGAAGAGGTGATACGGGTTCTGGTCTCGGTAAAGGTTGTTTAATTTCCTTTGCGACTTGAAGCGGGTTGTATCAAGTTTTAACTTCTCACATATAAAAATACACGAAATATGGACTTTCCAGTGTTTCAAGGCCGAAATAAAGTCGTGGTCTGTAGGTTATTTTTATAGGGCTGTACACAAAGCAGCTAGTACTTCCGGTCGCATCCCACGATGTCTGATATCACATATCGACACAGCTGCCAAACAATGTTTTTGTTGTTAGCACCAGACCTCTGTCTAAGGGCCCCTCTCCTCCCGTCATGCCTTGCGTGTAGCTCACATGCAGGATGTGCGAACAGTGGAGTACTCTTGTCGGCCTCCACCTTACAACACTTCAGCGCGGTTTTGCATATTTCAGTAGAATACGTAGCACTTTTCGACTTCCAAAACACTTCGTATATTTAATAACATTGAAATTGAAACGTCCGTAAAAATTACCGAGAAACAACATTTGGAACTTTCAGGTTCTCACGGTTGCGAGTATGATGACTATCTTTCAGGTATTTGCTGTGAGAAGTATGGTAGAAGATTGCCAGAAGTTTCAGACGTACTTGCTGCCTTCATCAGCAGGGGGATAAATTGTATCTGCAAAAAATGTAGGACTAAAAATCTTAAAGAATGCGTTGCGGAAGTTTAGAGTGTGTTTTTGTTTCACTTTGTACTTAATTTGGAATCAGATGGACGGTGCTTGACATGTGCCATATTATTTTTATTCTCAGAAATATTTTAACACTGACGACTATCACACTTTGATATTCCCCACAAACATTAACTGTCATATAAACGTAAAGGGGTCCAACGGTGATCCGTTAAATTCAGTGTTGCTGTGTTTGTGGAGTTGTCTATTTTTATTTAGTGTTCTGTCTGACGACAGGTCCATATGAACAGGATCCTTCCATCCTTTTCTCGGACTGGGACCTGTTCATATACGTTCTTGGCAGATGATCCAGAAGTGGTTTGCCATTGCCTTCTTCTGTGTGTGAATGGAGTAATGGTTGGGAGGCCACGGAGGAAA